TAGCTAGGCTTGACTGACATCGACAAGCTAGTATGTGACTAATGCGTCAATAGTGAACAGCTACTGACAGATTGCAACTCCATTCACAAACACAATTGAGCAGATTCTTGCCAATCGGCAAATGGACGTATTGACAGGCATTAAGATGGAAATATAGAGGAATTGATGGCAGATGATAATGGTACTGTTGGGGTGGATTATGGGGATATTGATGTAGTGTAATATTGAGTAGTTGAAGTGGTTTTATTGTTTCTAGTAGTAGTAGTTGGTTAGTGGTTAAAGCATTGATAAAACCCAAGAACTCTTCTTTAGTTTGGCATGACCTAATTTATTTGGTAATTGTATCCCTACTTACTCCAAATAACATAATTACTCTTACTGTGGATACAAAATACAGAACGTTACATAATGAATTTGAGAAGTAACTAATATTAAACATTCAATTTGAAAAGGTCTTACATTTATTGTAACAACTGCAAACTTGACTTAAGAATAGATCTAATCAAACAAAACCCAAAGGAGTTCACATACAAAAAGCGAATAACAAAAATTATATTAAACCACGCAAATTTTGTTGAGAAAAACACAAAGGATTGTTCCTTAGAGAAAACGCGAATATTATGACAATTGGCTTCGTGGCAAATGATTTATGTTACGACATAAACTCGTTTCCCAAATTGATGTTACCCAGCTGAGAAAAAAACAATCAGACTTTTCCTCAAGGCCCAAACTTTCAAAATCCATCAGGCCGGATTACAAGCCCCTAAAAATATAGGTATTATATAAAAATGGGGAGAAAAATCGTGAAACGAAGGCCTGAAAACAGGGCCAAGAATAAAATACGAGTCAAGATTTTCAATTTATTAAAAGCAAACACAATTTCGCAGGCTTCAGCTCAAGTACGAAAACAATAGTTACTTGGATCGAAAGAATTAGCTTTGGTATAAGCCACGAGAGGTGAGCGGATTAGTAGCGAACAATGGTTCCAAAATTGTCTTCTCTTTTTATCTTAAAAACTTCTATGTTACTTTGGACTTTTGAAAACACTATAACGACATCTTACCTCTCTTTCGCTGAAAACAAATTCATTTATTTGTAAAATGTTTTACCAGTTTTCTGCCAGGTATTTGTATGCCAGTAACGAAAATTGCCTCGAAATTATCTCAGATTAATTAGGACAAGTATTTCCTTTTTCATCCTCAAAATTTTCGATAACATCCGAATTTCGAAAAAGAATTAGAACACTCTGTGGAAACGAAATACCAACCTTTCTTCATCCTGTCCCTTCCAAAGCTGAGGTGTTAAATAACAAAAGTCAATAAAGATTAGATCCAAATCATTAGCAGTCATAAACCGTGGGAATCAAGTGTAATCAATACTAATATATTCATGTTTGATAAAGAATTAATTTTTATTCCCCTCTCAGGTTAAAGATTATCAATGATTGGTATTTAATCTTCCATTGCTGTCATGTTTTCTAGCTTATTCAATGGCAGTAAAATCGAGCCAGTAATCTATATCGATAACTTCAATCTATTAAAAGATATCAATTAGTGGTACTAAATTTTCTCAAGTGGTGATAAAATATAATGAGAAAGGGTAAACATGATTCTTTTTTATAGGTTCTTTATCCTCGTCATCATCAGATTAATTTATAGCATAAGCTTTGTCATCATTATCACTATCAAAATTTCCTTCTTGATCAGAAATTGCTTCTGATTCTCTCTTAGATCTCATTTTCTTTATTTAGTTATATTTGAAATTCGTTATGACGTAGGTAAGTTGAATATAATAAATTACACTTTTTCTGATGAAAAGATTCATCGAAAGACTTCTCCCACCTTGGATACGGCAAGTTGGAGTGTCAGACTCTTACTGACTAACAATCACACCGTTTCCACTCCTGCTTTTAGCTGGAGCCCCGATAACCTGTTAAGTTGTCCGTGGCTCCGATAGTAAGTTATCCTATTATCAAATGCCAAATATGGACTCATCGTATCCTTACTCATTTTAAAATCTTATGCTATTATATAAAGCGGAAGAGTTTGTTTTTTGTTTGTTTGTACGCGCTAATCTCCGTAACTACAAGTCTGATATAATAATTCTTGTGTTGAATACCGCATTTATCGAGGATGGCTATAGGCTATAAAACATCACGCTACGACCAATAGGAGCTGAGCAGAGCGTGTGAAACCGCGCGGGAGTAGCTAGTCTTTATAATGTTTGGTCGCCTCGAGCATTGGAACTGAAAGCTCTAACAACCATTCCACCAAAGACGAAGCTAAATTTTAATCTACAGCTTCAATCCATTAAAACGCATCAACCTCAATTAATACTGATATATCATCTTGAGTAGTGATAAAATATAAAAATATACAATGAGTCCATAAATTAAATATGATACATAAACTGTAATGGTACAAGTATATTGGTTAGAGTATTGTCCACAACTTTGTTTGCTTAGCCTTTGGGACTTGGAAGTATACAATTCTCGGTAACTATGTTATAGTAATAATATATTCAAATTATGTTGGAAATAGAACTGTGTAATAAGAGTACGAAGGGTCAACATTTGAGAACCAAGAAATGTGTTTAATAAGTACAAGAAAGTTTTGGTGACTTTACTTACGTAATGGGACGTCAAGGACGTTTGTTAGAACAATGGGTTAAGTTTTAGAAGGCAAGGACAATATTTGTAGTGATTTTTGGAAATAGAAAATTTGTGTTGTTTATCATTGGATGGAAGGTCGTGAATCTAGCGATTAATTATTCAGCAAGAAATAATTTTGGTTTGGCTATGATGATGATTGTCATAGGCATAAAGAAAATATTTTTGAGTTTGTCAATTTTCAAAATGAATTTATATAATCTTAGTTTTAATTGAATCCGTTATTTGCCACCTTTTTGATAGAATTTATGATAAAATTATTGGTGTACATTAGACGTTGTATTTTGTTAATGTACAGCTATGCAATTACATTATAATTATTTTATAAACCACGTTTAAATTTAAAAAACCGACTTCGACCGCCTCTTTTTTAAAGTTGGTTATTACTTATAATAATACTTATCTGAAAACTGCATCACAATCAGTTCAACTAATCGCGAGTTTATCGCCCACAAACATATATACAGGTCGAAAAGAGATCATCCTTTTTTCGGTTAAAAACAGAGTCCAATTTTGCTAATACCATCTCTATAAAGATAAACGATACCGTTTCTAAAAGTTTTCAAGTAAACACCAAATTATAGCAGAGCCTCTTACGACACCAAATTGTAGTATTTATCTGTTACTTTATGTCAACCACTATACTCGGTTATCTTTACGCTCTTTTTCAATTACGGCGTTGGCAGTACTCCAACCAGAAAGTACTAGCAACAATTCAACAGAATTGATGTTTTAGTTCAGTTTTTCTACTTCGTTTCCTTTTCTTGTATTGTTTTTCATTTGTGTTGTTGCTTCAGTTGTATTTTCGATGACAATAAATTTGTTTTTAGTAGTAGATTTAATAGTACTTTTAGAATTAAGTGCTGTCTTAACTCGTCGAGTACCGTATTTATAGACACAATTAAAGAACAATAGGTTGCAGTCACCGGTGACCGCTTGGTGTTTGACCGTTTAATTAAACTTATTTTGCTTGTACTAATATTATTTGAATTTAAAGCAGAATAAGGTATCAGCTTCACTACGATAATTTATTGTTCTATCATTCAATTTTATCTTTATTCGCTTGTGCAGAGTTTCATAAAAAAATTGGTATTTTGAACCGATTTCAAAAAAAGACGGAGGGTCTCAGTTTGGCCTATGTGTATGTTTGTACGCACTTATGTCGCGATTAGCAGAACCGATTTTTATTTGCTTTTCAGAAAAGTTGGTTTTTATTACATGTAGGAGAAGGTTTTATTATATGAATTAAGCAACTTCAGAAAAAAGTGGTTATTGTCGGTATTTTCAAATATAGTATTAGAAACCAACAAACAAAATCATTTCTAATTGCATTCATCTGCATCATGCTGCATCAAAATTAAATTTAATCAATGTTCGTATTAGGTAAATAGTGAAAACCAATAATGTTCTAAATCTCCAGTGAAAATGTGGTCGAACACTAATAAGCGAAATCCTAGCCATATAATATGTCAAAAGGACCACAAATGCCACTAAAGAGCTCTATGATTAAAAGTTGCACTATTAACTATTTGGGAAGCCTAATTTTGTTAGCTTCACTGGTAATTTCACTTATATTACGTTACCAATTGATGGAATGTATAGGAAAAATACGATAGTGGCACCGATTCTACGCTCCCAAGCGTATATTATTTTTTTATCAGAACCGCTTGTCTCTCAACACTTGGTCCACCAAATTCATTTTTTCCTCGCATGCTGCCCCTAACAAGCGTCTGTTTGTACGCTCCTGTATCGTAATTTTGTGTGCCGTATACTGATTTATTATTTCAAATTACACGCCGTATGGCTCAGGAAGATCACTTTATTCCGAAATAAGGTACATTATTGGAGATTTCCAATTTATTTTTGAAACCATTATTGGTTTAATGGTTGTTGGTTTTCCTGGTGATCCTCGTAAGTGGTCTTGGTTTTGGTTATTTTTAATAATTGCACAATCAAGTGAGTTTTTAACGACAACTGGTAAATTTTTTGGAAATCAGTTTTAATGGAGATTAAGTTGAGTTTAAGTGGATACTTGGAAAAGGGTGGGTTTTATCTAAAGTTTTGCTTTTGATCTGTTGTTAAGTAATTTGCCAATATAATACGAATTGCCATCCGCAAGAAACATAATTTTAAAGACATTAAACATTTCAAAATATGGACATGTATGAATACAGTCAAATTGCAAGTCATGATAACAAATGAAATACGTTCTTGGCTTATGACATTGAGACGGCTATGTCAGTAGCATTACTCGCACCATGCAATTTGGCCATATCATTTTGAATATTGATTCATAACTGTTATATTATAAAGTATATATTTCGATACATACCTTTGATTCCAGAGCTGACTTGGCACTGATATTTAGCATCGTCATCCAATGTAACGTCTCTGATGTCCAAGGAATAATCTCCTGCGAAAGGAAAAACAGTTTAATGACACGGTTTATTACATTCTTCTGATCTTATTGTTTGGAGAAGTCAACATTAGTCTAAAAATATACAGCTAAATGTTAGATTAGCATTACATAAACCTATCAAATTGGTTAAGGTGCAGTTTGGGTTGGGATAAATTGGAAGAAATGATTTATTTTACTACAGAAGTAATATATGGAACGATATAGTAATGTATGCTATCTAGTGATCCGTGCGCGGCCCTGTGGACGAGCATGGGTAGCTCGCCGCTTAATCAGAACCAGACCCGAGCCTATGGCACGTCGCGCTCTGCGCGCGTCTCAAAGAGCCATCAGACCACCACGGATGGAGTCCAAAAGCGCTGATGCCGATATGGAGCCGCGGAGGACTTAATAGGTTGCCGAGGCTCCGGCTCGAAGTACAGGAGTAAGAACGGTGTGGTTTTTAGTCATTAAAAGTCTGACACTCACCCAGGCGGGAGAAGCCATTCAATGACCATCCCCCCCTTAAAAATTGGTCTGTAACTTTTGTTGCCACCGTAAATAGTATAAAAAATCTAGGTCGTGTTATTTATATTAAGCATGGATATCAGTGTATTGTTATCAAATAAAAGTAACTATTTCGTATCTAATAGTAGTTACTAGTAGAATAACATTAATACTCATATTATTGCCATTTAGGTTTACCTAGATAATGCAGTGCATTATCCAGATTAAACTCTCTTATAGCTTTAAGAAAATATACAGCCACAGGAAAGGATTAAAATGAATAATAAACAATAACAAACACACACACACACACATATTATGAAGTTTACAACAATATATCTACGTAGTTCCACTGACTTTAAGATATTATTGTCTAGTATATTATCGTTACTGTATATTTTCTTCTGTGCATTGAATACAGATGTTTCGATTGTGCATGCCTTGATACAAAACGTAGTGTTTCATATTATTTTTAAACCTTTAGCCATAATAGTGCTTATTGTTCAGTTATGTATGTTTCTGCATTCATATTTTTCTATATATTAGTTTGTTTTGAGTTTTTTTAGTATCTTCAGTTCCCGTTTACGATTTTTTATTGTATCAAATTTGTTTTTCTTTATAAAGAAAACAGTTTTTATTTTAAACCGTAACTGCAAACTACTTAATTTTTTTGAAAATCATTCTTGGATGAGTGATCTCCGAGCGGTCACTGGTGACCGCGTACTACTCACTACATTATAGACATTATCACCGATGTTATAGATGCTAATTTTGTATGAGCATTGTGAATTTTTATCAAGTGGTTAAAAGGTATATCCATAGTACGATATTTATTTATGGTTCAGAGTGTGAAATTATTTCAATTCCTATAACACAAGTGGCCAAAATGTAGTTTCGTGTAAGTACAACTTGCCTTCCCCTTTGAACAATATCTAGTGTGATATTATACCAAACAATCGAGTAGCTACCATATTTTTTCCAAACAAATAATTATACATTTTACCTTTGCTCAAAAATACAACGATGAAAGATAAAATCGAATAAAACCCCACTTTTATTGTTAATTGTGGACAATTTATGAATAAGTGATATGAATATGTTTTTTATAGCACTATTTTCGAATCAATCATTTAGAAAAATGGTAGCGAACGCGAAGGGGATAGAAGGGTCGAATATATTTTAGACATAACATGGTAAGGTGACTTTGAGGACGTATTAGACATGCTAGGACATAAATGTGAATTTAAATGGAGATGTAAACCATTTTCGTATTTAAAGAAGTCACTACTTACATGAAAATATGGTATACCAAAGGAAAAATTCAGTTATCAGATAGATCGCGCATGTTTTCGTACGAAAATATTAATTCAGGCAATCTGAATTGAATTGTAAGTGTAATTTGCCAATTTGCTTAAGGCAAAATATGTATACATATATTATAATATACTTATAATTAGAAATTAATGCTCAAACCTTCTCCGTATGATAAGAGGCTTTGCTCAGTAGTGGGAATTACCTCTATAGGACGACGATGATGATGATGATGATGCTGATATTATATATGTCGATATATAGGTGTTAAAAGTAACACACTTCAGTTTTTATAATATAATACATAAGTCAAAAACACAATAGATTAACATGTAGAGGGCGTTTTATGTTAATCTAAGTAGCGCTCATAAGAATGATACAGTTTGTCCTTGAAGCCATATTAACGAAAACAAAAAAGATACTCTCGATAAAAAACACACATTAACTCGTCGAGTACCGGTTTTATAGACACAATTAAAGAACAATAGGTCGCGGTCACCGGTGACCGCTTGGTGTTTGACAGTTTAATTAACTTAAGAGCAAAAATAAAGCATCAACAATACTTAAAGATGTTTAATGAAAAACAGACACCCATTAAGTGGGTAGTGCTAACTTAGTAATTAGATCAAGTCTTAATTAAAATTTAAAATTAGGGAGTTTTATGTTTTATAAGCATTTTTATATTTTACATATTTTACGACTCCTTTGGTAGTAGGGCTAAAAATGTAATCAAGATATTGTAACGCTACCTATATATATATATATAATACTGGTTATCAAATTTTTGTTAAGGTAGATTTTATGGCGTTCTGAGCCAGCTATAAAATTCTAAATGCTGACGAAATAATAAGAAACTGAAATTGGTATTCAGGGGAGAATTTTATTTGGTAAAAATCGTCAGAAGTAATACCATGGCATTGTAAAACGAATTACAAATAAAATACATACCAAATAGGGCGTGAGCCTATTGCCATATTTTTATCCCCGAAGGTGTGGGCAGAGGTGCACATTACGGCACTTAATGCCAATGTACAATGTAACACCCACTTTTCACTATATACATATGTTATGAGTCCCATGTAATAGGAAGTGAGCCTATTGCCGTACACCGGGCCACTACTGAGATTTTTATTAAAACCCAGTAATACTTTGCCCAACCTGGGAATCGAACCCGAGACCCCTAGTTCGGCAGTCGAACTTGCGACCACTCGGCCAACGAGGCAGTCTGTATAATAGCAAAGAATCCAAACAAAACAACTAGTACAACGTAATGACAATTGTTTCACTAGCATTAGTAGAAATGCTAATTCAATCTCACTTCGGTTTCACAGCAAAATATCTAAGCTTCGTCAGCTGCTTCACGACCCAAGCCAGCAAAATCAAAATGGCCGAATTGAAACGCCGTCAATTGACTTGAAGTCTTCAGATAATTTCTCGTGCTATTTCACTCCAAGAAATGTTTAGCTTTACAAGAGACTAAATTCTCCTTTAGAATTCTACGCCACTGCAGTATTATTAAACTAAATTGAATATTCGAAATTGGTTATCTATTTATACCTTGGCGCAGGTCTTGTAACTTTGATCATACAAATTTCAATCTCCCGTGAGGTTTCAGGCTTTGTTGGTCGAAAAACTCAGCGCTGCATCTTTGTGTGTATGGAACTGTTTTCATCTTCATAGCTGGTACATTGAATACCTTTTCATTTCTTAAAGGGATCGGTTGAGACACTTATAATGTTAAATGTTTTACTAATTATGTTACGGATTAGTAAAGCCTATGGCTAATTACCAGCTACAATTTTAAATAGTCTAACATTCCGATACAAAACGACCTTCACTGAGATGCATATTTATATTCAATTTAATATGTCAATAATTTATATGGTAAATATAATACCATTTTGGACTATTGATCAATTCTAATATTATTAATTGGATATCAGCGTCAGCGTCGTGGTAATCGAATGGTGTGGTGGCTCCGAAGGCTTAAGATGCCTGCGTCTCATGCACATGCATGAGAGTGCAGGTTCGAAGCCTAGCAACGGAAAAGTACCAATGTGACTTTTTCGAGTTTTATGTATATTCTTAGGATATTTAGACACCACTGACAACCGGTGAAAGAAAACATCGTGACGAAACCTGAGCTTATAATTTCTGATCATAAGTTTCATATCTTCAACCCGCATTGAGCAAGCGTGGTGTTTAATGCTCAAAACTTCTTCGTGCGAGAAGAAGCTTTGGTCAGCAGTGGCCACCTACAGGCTGTTGCTAATCAGCGTCAATTCCTTAGGTACTATTACCTATTCTATTCACTCGATGTACTATCAATTAAATGCCATTAGTCTACGATGCCCAAGATTCTATGATCAGCAGTCGCATTTGCAAATTCTCGACCGACAAGTTATATTAAGTTCATAACATAATGTTTCTATTTTTCAATAGCACAAATCTAAGTGTGGGAGACCCATGCTTCGGCACGAATGGGCCGGCTCGACTGGAGTGATACCACGGCCTCACAGAAAACAGACGTGAAGCAACGCTTGCGTTGTGTTTCGTCGTGTGAGTGAGGTTACCGGAGGCCCAATTACCCTCCCATTTCCCAATCTCTCCAAATTCCTCAAATTCCTAATTCCCAAAAGGCCGGTAACGCACTTGTAACGCCTCTGGTGTTCCAGGTGTCCAAAGGCGATGCCGATTGCGTACCATCAGGTGATCCGTCTGCTCGTTTACCGGCTTATGCCATAAAAAAAAAACAAAAGAGTCTTTTGTCTGTCAGTTACACACCCTGTTTATCGTTTGTAGAAGATTTATCTTTTAGTGGTTGGTCACAAAGTGTTTCCCATGGAACATTAGTTCTCAGTTAACGAGTTGCAACTGCAAAAAGCCACAAACAGTCGCAACTACCAGTTTGTGGTAGTGTTAATAGCTTTTGTTCACAACAAACTGATCTTGGCGACACTTTATCTATTAAAGGGTTTCTGTTTCAAAGAACCCTTTTATTTACGGTGTTGTGATGATAGTAATTTGTGTAGTACTTAAGTGGTTTTGGATGAGTAGGTCGAGACTTCAGAGTCATTATGAAATTGAAACAATTGTGTCTGTTGCAGAATTATGCAATTGTTGGATTGATGAAATTGTCATACGATGTGGGTTTAAGCCATCCTTCGGTACGAATAGGCCGGCTCGACCGGAGTGATACCACGGCCTCACAGAAAACCGGCATGAAACAACGCCTGCGTTGCGTTTCGACGTGTAAGCGAGGTTACTGGAGGGCCATCACCCTCCCCCTTTTTTCCACAGTCCCTGAATCTTCAACAATCCTCAAAGTTATAATCCTCCAAAGGCCGGTAACGTACTTGTAACGCCTCTGGTGTTCATGTCCATGGGCGGCGGAAAAAAATGTGGTGTCGATTAAGAATGTGGTATCAGACTTAAAAGGTTTTGGAGTACAGATAATAGTTGCCGGCATTCAGTCGAATCTGTTTAAAACTCTGTTATTGTTAAAATTTGTAACCAGTAAAAAAATACCAAAATAGTATTAACGATGATAGTTTCCTAAATTTTATTTTAATGTACGTCTGGTACATTAATTTAACACATTAGACACGTATTTTTTCTTTTCTCACAAAATTAAAAACTTTCGACGATAAATTAATTTGAAATATCGTGTGACTTCACAGCGTGCCACATTTTGTAGCACGTTATGACGTAACAACCTCCCACTCCTAAACTTAGCGCCATTTTATCTTAGTATTGGAACTTAATACGAGAAAATAAAAAAATAAGTGTCTAATATTTTTTCATTATCTAAGTGACGGACTAATTAGATTTTTAATTTTGATACCCTGGAAACTGCCCAATTTTCACAACTTCCAATTATTTTGCTTAGAAAATAATGCTATCGATCCAAATGTATCCAATTGTTTCCTCGTACTTACAAGGAAGGGTAAGAAGCTTAGCAAGTCCCAGTGGACGACAACGAAATAAGGAACAATCCAGAAACACGAAATTGACTTGACTGCTCGGTGAGCGCAGTGGCTGGGCAACCGGGGGATGTGGATTCCGGTACGAAACCACTCTTTGTGTTGTTTGCAAATTGCCGGTTCAAGTCTGGGTGTAATGACATGTGTGTTTGTGTTTGTTAACGCATGAGACAGGAGAAATCCTATTATGGAGTCATTTGTTGACGTTTGAAAAGTACCAAATTATGGTTTAATTGAAATAAATGCTTTTGAGTTTGAGTTTGAGCATGTTATATGGTGTTTGTTATCTTCTATTTCATTTACTAATACAAAAGATAACATTCATAGACCGTGTAAGTTCATCTGGCCTATGACTTATCTTTACATAAGAGAGGTTGACATAATTCCCATGCTTGACAGACGTGATCACAGTTAAAAGATTAAATTTATTAGAGACCGCTACTATCCTTGTTCTTTGTCAAATGAATAGACCCTCAGTTGGTTTTTACGACACAAGCAGAAAGATTTGACGTTTTCACATAACACATAACATCATGCCTTTTATCCCCGAAGGGGTAGGCAGAGGTGCAAATTATGCCACTGTACTATGTAACACCCACTTTTCACTATTTATGTTATGAGTCCCCTGTAATAGGGGGTGAGCCTATTGCCATATACCGGACACAATTCCAGACTCCGTGTTACTACTGAGATTTTTTTTAAAACCCAGTAATACCGACTCGACCCCTGGAATCGAATCCGAGACCCCTTGCCCGGCAGTCGCACTTGCGACCACTCGGCCAACGAGGCAGTCAGTCAAGTTGACGTTTTAAAATACGTAAAATAACAGATCGAAATGTAAAAAAAAAATAATTACCTTCTTCATCGCTTCCAATCATCTTGTACCGGTCGTAGCCACTCAGTTCTCGATGTAGCCCGAGTCCAAAATCATCTTTCGTCCATTGCAGCTGACCTGCTTTGTTCTCCACCCTGCATGGTAATGTCACTCGAGATCCCACTACTGCCGTCTGTGAACCAAAACATAGACTTAATTAACTTTAATATAATCTTAACATAGGTCAGGTGGCCCAAATATTGCGTTCTTCTAAAGACCAGTAGCGCAGTGGCGCTGATTGCTTACCATCAGGGGATCTGTCTACGCGTTTGCCCACCTTATGCCAAAATTAATAATTATTATAAAAAATTAATATACTAAAACCTTCTCCTAAGTAAAACAAACTCGCGAGATAATTAAGGTCATACTGAGAAACTCCATTTTTTCATTTTGAAGTCTATTAATAGGCAGCCATTTTCGATATAACGACAAATTACCAGCAATAGGGTAGACGACTAATTTTTATTTTAATGTCCGTCTGATAGATTATTTAAAAACATTAGACACGTATTTTTTACTTTCTCACAGAAACGAATAGTTTCGAAGATATATTGATTTGAAATGTCGCGTGACGTCACTTCTCAGTACATTTTATACTAAGAAATGACGTTTTAGCCCCCACTCCTAAACTTTGATTCGTTTTATCTAAGTATTGTTTTATTATACGACAAAATAAAAAAATACGTGTCTAATATTTTTTCATTACCTAACTTACGGACAAATTATATTTTTAATTTTCATACCCTGTCATCATCCCCATTATGTTAAGTTCCATATAGACTAAGACTTTATACACAATTCCAGACTCCGTGCTAAGATTGAGATTTTTTTAAAGAAAGTATACTTTTATGGTGATAAGATCATCCATTACTGCGTGGGACTCATAACATATCCTAAAGCTAACTAGTTGTGGCAACACATGTCCCGTGCCAAATGACGCCACAGTTCACGCACATAGACCATCAATGAAAAACAAACCAACGGATGACGTCACAAAATCCTACATCGCACATATACAATTTACATGCGAATTAACACGGATAGGAAATCCGAACGAACAACTGTTGGGCAGGATACCCGCCAGGCACGATCACCTCGCCTGGTCGGAGGATCCTCCTTCTCCGATCTTAGGTAACTCTACTGTATCCAAAATAGTGATATGTGGTTTTTCAATTATCTATATACCTCTGTTTAATTATGCTGCCTCGTTGGACGAGTGGTCGCAAGTGCGACTACCGGGCAAGGGGTCTCGGGTTCGATTCCCGGGTCGGGCAAAGTATGTACTACTGGGTTTTAAAAACAATCTCAGTAGTAGCACAGAGTCTGGAATTGTGCCCGATATATGGCAATAGGCTCACCCCCTATTACATGGGACTCATAAATAGTGAAAAGTGGGTGTTACATTGTACAGTGGCATAATGGGCACCTCTGCCTACCCCTTCGAGGATAAAAGGCGTGATGTTATGTTATGTTAAGTATATTTAATAATTCAGGGGAATAAAATATGAGTTTTTATACCAAAGAAATATTTTATGAGTACAGAATACTTTATGAGCTGCAACAACTAGATAGCAAGTCCAAAGAATATTTACTTACAAAGATTAATTCGCAGAATCCCAAATAACCTTAAAAGAATTTTCTTAGAAATTTAAGTTTCTTAATCATTACTTATCTTGCTGAATTCGTTTAGTTTATTCATTTCTAAGTAGTTCTATCAACACATTTAAGTAATTCAATTTCTATTACTTAGTTTTGATTTGAAATGTAGAAGTATTCATTTACTCTTTGATTAAATATTTCGATAGTTGATTATGTTCGTTAGTTGATTAAATTCATGTTTGTTGAGGGCTAAGATAGATACAGTATAAACCTGTAAACGGTTTAGTACTCATTGTACTATGTTTAAAATTTTGTATCCTATAATGGGGCTGACGTTATTCATTTTTTTATACCACGACGGTGGCAAAAAAGCACACGGCCCACCTGATGGTAAGCGGTTACCGTGGCCTATGTACGCCTGCAACAGTTGAGGCATTACATGCGTCTTGCCGACCCTTAAGAAACCTATTCACTGCCCTCTTGAAGAACCTCATGTTGTATTATTATATTCATTTAGAAAAAAAACCTACTTATAAAATCAAGATTAAAAAAAAGATAGATACGTTGTTTTTTGCTAATTTCCGAAGATGTAGACTTAGGTCCATAACATAAGAACAATGTTACACCGGCTTGTGTCCAATTGTGTCATGAGTATATAACGGACAGTGTCTTTTTTTTAAGAGGAGATAATCATCGAATGACAGTTCCCGCCTGGGTGAGGCGGGAGGGAGTGTAAGACTCTTACTGACTAAAAACCACCCCGTTCCTTCTCCTGCACGTCGAGCCGGAGCCCCGGTAACCCCTTAGGTTCTCCGCGACAACAGACAGTGTCTAACCCTGTTATCACATACCAGTCGCAATGTCAGACTCCATGTAATCAAAAACCACCTAATAACTTTTTACCCGACCCGGGAATCGAACCCGAAATCCCTTACTTTGCAACCACACTTATCGTCGACTAGACCAAAGAAATAACTGCATCAAAAAGGGCTATTTTTAGTGCTACAACAAATTTAACGGGAAGTACCACCCGTCTACAAAGCTTCGAAATTCCTTCCCTAAGACATGTCACTGCAGTCCGATAGCAACTTATGACATGTGACTATTTTGGAGGCGACTGTCATTACCGTCTCATTTCCCGTTTCCTACATCCGCATTGCTAGACGTGTGGTCTCAATTTTAGATCTTATTGTGGTGCTTGAGAACTAGATTTTGACTTTAGATTTTTTGAGGATTTAAGTGTGAGATTTGTTAGACGGAAAGACATTGGCATTTTTTTGGGTTTAAAGTGTCTCTGTGCCAGGCTGTGTAAAGCAAATAGGATATTTCTAGTAAACTTGAAAAGTAAAAAAATTGTTGTTTTCTCTAGATACTGGTCAATACGCAAACCTTTATACTTAAGGCATAAGTTCCATTAATCAGGTTAAAACAGACCATGTTATTTAAATATTGAAACATAAGTAACAAATAACAATCCTGGGTTGCCATTGCGGAAGAAAAAACTACAGTTACAATCTCAGGAATTGAACCCAAGAAAACATTACTACAACGAAATAAAAGAAATAGTTAATAAAAAAGATTACCTGATCCTGAGGTTCCATAGCAAACTTTTGCTCCTGATATCCACCACACACACCAAATAACACTGTACAAATCGCAAGAATCACCAAATTTTGAGTCCGTAGCAACAGAAATAATTGTGACACACCCCTACTCGTAAGTCTTATTCTAAAACTGTAATTCAACAGCATGATAACCGTACTACACAAAATTATCCGTATGCTAACATAACAAGGAAATCCGGGTTTTAATTTTAGACATTCACATTTTAACGGAAGCTTCGCTTTCCCCTATGTGAATGGTCTATTTTTACACTAAACCATTTCGAAGGGAATCCCATGTTTTATTTTTAGCCACCTTTTTAATAAAATGATTTATTGTCCTTCGGTTCTTGAAAGCACTCGCTGATGTGTCGTATCTGCAACAAAAAGAGAATGTGAGTTTAATTATCACGATGTGAGTTGATGAAAGTATTTTTGTGATAAATTAATTTTAATGTGAGTTGATGAAATTAATTTTTGTTGTGGATATCATTTTCGAGTTTGAAATGGACGCTGTCGTGTGTGCTGTCACTTAGCTTTTGACAACGTTTAATTTATTTCCCGACGTATTATTATTTGCAGATGGGATGTTAATTTTAACTCGTCGAGTACCGGTTTTATAGACACAATTAAAGAACAATAGGTCGCGGTCACCGGTGACCGTTTGGTGTTTGACAGTTTAAATTAGTTTTATCTATGTGATTTTCTTTTGGTATATTTGTAAATATAAAATAATGTTTTGTTGATTGAGTACATTCGTATATTGGATAAATTATTATAGAATTTATCGATGATTGCAACAATGTGTATAATCTATTAATTAGTCTTATTTTTATCATAATGTTAGCTACAATACGCCAACTGCTGAACATGGGCCTCTCTAGTAACTTCCAGATCATCTAGATAAAAGCAAGCATGCAACCCGTTCATCTGAATGTCATCGATACGACTCATAAATAAATTAAAAATGAACTTTATTCTCCAATACCAGTGTATGACATTCATTGATTTTTATATATACCAATATGTATCTACAGATGAGTCAGAGGAAACGTGAGTCATCAATTGACTCAGTCTTACACAATTTAATCTTTATACATGAAACGTTTTGTTATTTAGGCCAGATTCCGTTCAAAACTATTAGAATAACATCAAGAACAAACAGATTATTCTATTAATATATACATAAAATAACATAACAATTACGGCTGTTGTTCAAAACCTACTTTTCGTTGGTTATAATAATTAGGAGTCCATTGTAATCAGAAACAAACTTAGTTTGAAATCACATAACATAACATAACACGCCTTTTATCCCCGAAGGGGTAGGCAGAGGTGCACATTACAGTACTTAATACCACTGTACTATTTATTAAACACCTATTGTACCTACTCATTTCACTATTTTATGTTACGAGTCCCATGTAATAGGGGGGCCTATTGCCATATACTGGGCACAATTCCAGGCTCCGTGCTACCACTGAGAATTTTTCAATAACCCAGTAATACTTTGCGTTGCCCGGTAGGCGCACTTCCGACTCCTCGGTCAACGAAGCAGTTTGAAATCACTGAAAATAATAAAAATCGAGAGGTCTCACACACTCTCATCCGACCTCAGAATCAACCCAAAGCCGACCTCTTGCTCAAATCCCATTTGCCAACTCAACTGACGAGAGCAGAATAAATATAGAATATCAAAATAAACTTTTATAAAGTATGTTTAATAGAAGATACTGCCTCGTTGGCCGAGTGGTCGCAATTGCGACTGCCGAGCAAAGGGTCTCGGGATCGATTCCCGGGTCGGGCAAAGTATTACTGATTTTTAGAAAAATTCTCAGTAGTAGCACGGAGTCTGGAACTGTGCCCGGTATATGGCAATAGGCTCACCCCCTATTACATGGGACTCATAACATAAATAGTGAAAAGTGGGTGTTACATTGTACAGTGGTATAATGTGCACCTCTGCCTACCCCTTCGAGGATAAAAAGCGTGATGTTATGTTATGTGTTTAAAAGAATCGATTCCAACCGGCCCTTTTTTAAAGTCAAATAGTTAATGTCCTAATTAATTCTTCTATTTGTAACAAAAAGTTTTCAGAAAACCGTATCAACATCAGTAAAACCAATCACGAGATATCGTCGCGGAGAACCTAACGGGTAACCGGGGTTCCGGCTCGACGTGCAGGAGAAGGAACGGGGTGGTTTTTAGTCAGTAAGAGTCTGACACTCCCTCCCGCCTCACCCAGGCGGGAGCTGTCATTCGATGATTTTCCCCCCTTAAAAAAAAACACGAGATATCCACGCACAAACATGCACTAAGGTCGAAATGGGAACGTCATTTCCCATAGAAGTCGTTTAAAAATTACATTTTTAACAAACCACTTAAAAAAGAATCCTCGCAACTTGGGAAACTTGGGCAAAACATGGCAACGAGTTGCCCGTTAGCCCTACTTTGCAAGTCGAAGTCTAAAAATAATAAATTACTAAGAAAACATAAAGTTCTTCTACAACTTTTGAAGGCAGGATTGTTCTAGTCTCCAGTCGTACTCTTGTACTAAAGAACTGATCACTTATTTTCTAGAAAATTCTCACGATAAAAACTATTTTACTCTGCAGTTTTCCGCTTGAGGGAAAGATTGTGAAAATAACGCTTTCTGCTCGTTTTTTTATTTGTTGCTGTTGGTTTCTTCGGTTCAATGTTATTGTGTATTGGACTTATTTTGTACGTTTTTGTATTATTATTATGTTTACATTCTGTTATTCATTTCATATGTCTAAGCACTGATGCTTAGACATATGAAATGCACACATATGAAAGGCAGGCATACAAAAATGTTCAAATCATTTCATTGCAACGAATCCTATTCTTTATCACTGACAAAGTAATTCAAACTATAATACTTCTAAAAATATTTATCAGTAGTTCTCCAAATGTGTCACATATTAAAAATTCATATCCATTAGCAACCATACTGTATTCGTCCATCATCGATGGTTAAAATAACTCAGCTTCTAGCAATCTATGACAGATAGACACCAAAATGCATTCAGATTAATATAATATTTAAAAGCACGGCTATTTCAAACCTTTTACATAATAAAATTGGACTAATTGAGTCGAGAGATATATTTCATCATTTTGATGGTGATTCCGTGTATCGTTATTATGGTTATTTGCAGCTCATTTTGTCTGCAATGGTCGTTATGACAACATTTTCATAATTTCTAGCAGTAAATCAGAACCTGAATTTAAACTCTGAGCAGATGTGACATTGATGACGAAAACATTTGTGTAGGTATATCTGGAGTACAGTTTTAACCTCCTACATTTAATATAACATAATAGCACGCCTTTTATCCCCGATGTGGTAGGCAAAGGTGCATAACAGTACTTAAAGACACTATACAATGTAACACCTTTTCATTATTTATGTTATGAGTCCCATTTAATAGGGGGTAAGCCTATTGCCATATACCGGGCACAATTTCAGAATCCGTGCTACTAACGAGGATTAAAAAAAACCAACAGTAATTTACCTGACCCGGGAATCGAACCCTAGACCGCTTGCCCGACAGTCGCACTTGCGAGTTGTGACCACTCGGCTAACGAGGCAGTCCTCCTATATTTGTATTATACATAAGTGTGTAAGTAGTTCAAAAGATCAAAATCTGGAATTTATAATTTAGGAACCTTTAAATTTCTGTTTTAATTATTTTGTACAATATTAGGATTGCTATCAACTACAATAAGACTAACTTAATCTAAAAATGTGTACGAGCATAATTTCTAAAGGACTCAAAATTTATATATTTCGTAATAATCGTAACTACATAGTACAAAAATGAAAATGTTAAGGAATTTGCACCTGAGCCTAGACTAAAAAATAAAATCGACTAAAGAATTCTCACTTAGCAAATGCCACCTGCAATCACAGTTCTAAAGACAGTCATCAATTCGCCATTTATGGTCTACACCTCACTTTAAATTAAATTCTTTACGACAAAGAAAAAGAAACAATAAAAACATTGAGTGAAGGTTTAAAGTGTTATAAAAGAATGTTCTCAACCAAAGATTTATAGTTGCAGTTTATCCTTACTCATAAATCGGAAAGTGAGTTTGTTTGTTTGTTCCGCTTTCATACCGTAACTACTAAACCGATTTACTACTTTTTATCCTTTTGTGACGCGAGCGAAGCCGCGGGTAAAAGGTAGTTCATAATAATTTGTTCTAGTAAATTGTATTTTTACTGTCTAGTAAGTAAGTAGGGTGTTTCATTTCTCTTTAACGAATTAGATTTTAATGGTAATAGACTGTATCGGTGATTAAATAATTGCAACTTTTAAGTTAAAATATAATTTCATCATCTTTTGTTGGATTAGACAAAGTACATTTATAAATGAGGTATCGAAATCCGTGTCTTAAAATCTGTAATAGGGTAGATGCCTAATTTTCATTTTAATGTCCGTCTGGTAGATTATTTTAAATCATTAGACACGTATTTTTTATTTTCTTACAGAAACGAATACTTTTGCCGATAAATCGATTTGAAATGTCGCGTGACGTCACTTCTATGTACATTTTTTATACGTAGAAATGACGTTTTAGCCCCCACTCCTACACTTTGATTCATTTTATCTAAGTTTTATTTTATTATACAACAAAATAAAAAAATACGTGTCTAATATTTTTTCATTAACTAATTTACGGACTAAATAGATTTTCCTACCCTGTCATCATCCCAATTGTGTCACATGTTTGCATGAAATTGACAAAACGGACAGTTTTATCACGTAATTTTTACTTTTCTGTCTAAGTTCTACTCCTTATAAAAGGCTTGAGAGTAAATTAATAGGTATATTAGTTGTGTGATTATCATTGCCATTTTAAATAAAAGCGCCTACAACGATACAATTCGAAAACAAAAATACACTTCATCCTTACTTGTATTATAAATCGGAAAGTGAGTTTGTTTGTTTGTTCCACTACTAAACCGATTGCTTTGAATTTTTGCAGATATATAGTTAGAAGTCTGGATTAAATAATAGGGTACTTTTTATACCGGAAAAATTTGATATTCCCGAGGGAAAACAAAAGTATTGGTATAGATGGCGCTGTGTGTATTGGTATATGTCACATTGGCTTTTTATCCT